ACGACCAACTATGAACTCATAGTGGCCATAACGGGTACGAAAAGCAGTCTTAGAAATATCCGACTCCCGGATCTTCAGCTGATGATAGCCAGAACGCAAATCAATCTTTGAGAAGACACTGGCTCCCCTCAGCTGGTCGAAAAGGTCCTCAATACGGGGAAGGGGGTACTTGTTCTTGACTGTAAGGGCATTCAACTCCCGATAGTCAATGCACATGCGCATAGATCCATCTTTCTTCTTCACGAATAGGACGGGCGCACCCCACGACGAGACACTCGGATGAATAAAATCGAGTTTAAGCAACTCCTGGATCTGGGCCTTGAGCTCTTGAAGCTCCTTCGGCGCCATACGATAAGCGGCCTTAGAAATGGGGCCGACTCCTGGAATTAGGTCAATGGTGAACTCCACCTGGCAGTCTGGTGGTCCTCCGGGCAAATCATCAGGAAAAGCGTCGAGGTATTCGCAAACGATGGATACTCTCTCAGGTACCCGCTCATCAACAACATCGGATACCAAGGAAACAAGATAGCCTTGACAGCTACCCTTGGAAAGGCTCTTCCTAGCTTGCATAAAAGAGATGACTCGAGGCACAGTCCTCGAATTCACCCCATAAAACACAACAGGCTGATCGGAAACGGGATAGAGGGTGACTTCGCGCTCTTGGCACCGGATATCAGCTCGATAACGGGTGAGCCAGCCCATGCCCAAGATCACGTCAAAATCTCGCATTTCAATTACATACACGTCGGCCTCCAGAACTCGACCACCAATACAAATAGGAAGATTGTGAACCACTGAATCAGAGATAATAATTTTTCCCGAGGCTAAACTAACCTCGAGAGGATCACAAGAATTCACAGTGCTAATAGATAAGGCCTCCAAGCAACGAGAAGAAATAAAGGAATGGGTAGCACCAGTATCACATAATGCAAAGACAAGCACGTTGGAGATAGAAAGTATTCCGGACATAGTACCTGTGTTGCGGGCGGCCTCATCATGGGTAATGGTATAGACACGGGCCTGACCCCCAGTCTTCTGCTGGAACGGTGGGGGCTGCTGCTGCTGATGAGGTGGCGGTGGGGGAAGCTGCTGCTGCTGAGGATAGGGCGGCTGTTGCTGTCTCTTCAGCTCACGGCAAACATTGGCATAGTGTCCGGGCAGTTGCAGTTGAAACACGTGCGCTGGTTAGCTAGGCACTCACTGCTGTGGGATCTACCGCATTTCGTGTAGGCTTGGCCAGTGGAGGATCAGTTGTCGCGCCTATCAAAATTTCCCTTCTTTCCTTTCTTCTTATTCTGGAAGTCGGACTTTCTCTTGCCCGAACTAGAGCCGGGCGGCACGGATGAGAGTGGCTGGGCATGCTGAACAACGGTTTGAGAAGGCTGGGAGGCATGATAAAATAAAAAACTGGAGCTAACGGAATAAGACAACTGTCTACCTCCTGAGCCCGACTCATGGTATCCGCGTAAGACATTAGTCCGTGACTCCCCACCAGTTCACGGATCCTCTGATTGAGCCCCTTGAAAAACTTGCTGGCCTTTTTTGCATCGGTATTCACCGCATCACCAGCAAAAAGGCACATTCGTGTGAAAGTGCGAATATACTCATCCATTGTGGAGCCCTGCTGCAAATGGTAGAACTCGTGCTCCATCCAATCCGAAAAGCTCTGAGGAAGGAACTTGCCACGCACCATCATCTTCAGTTGCTCCCAAGAGAGTGCATGAAGCTCCGCCTCTGGCCTCCGAGCCCAGTGGTCAATCCACCAGTCGGAAGCGTCCTCTTTCATCTGATAAGCTGCGTGGGATACCCGTTGTCGGTCAGGGAGGGGAAGTACAGTGAAGATCTTATCCAGTTCTTTGATCCACTCTAGCACCGCTGTGGGGTTCTCAGTCCCCGCGAAAGGTTGTGCATTCATTCTCTGAAACTGAACTATGAGCTGAGTAATATCCATGGCCGGAGGGGCCTGATGATGACGAGGCAGAGAAAGAGGCGGGGATGGCTGACGGTTACGGTTGTTGCGGGTATTCATACTTCTACATTGAATAAGCCGAACAAGGTTTAGCACAAAACAAACAAAATAATCAATATTGCAGAAGTCTAGAGTTCCCCAATAAACACTAGAGTTCGATAAAATCAAGATGGATAGATCCTAAGCCCCAAATCACAAGTTCAACACAAGTAGTTTCATTTCCACATGTGTATCATCTACATATCAAGTATTTTCATTAATACTTAAAACAAAACATACCTTAAGCATCGCGAAGTGAAGGAGACGAGTGGTCATATTACAAGGTCTAAACACATACTCACATATAAACCAGTCTACAGAAACGCAGACTGGCTCTGATACCAAACTGTAATACCCCACTTTGATTTTACAAAAATTCCGGACTTTCCAAAAATCAGTACAAAATTTTCGACATCATTTTCGAAATTCAATGGGTGTTAAACAACATTTTCATGACCAAAGTCTTATCTGGGCCTACGGGGATTCATTACCCGGTTTTCACAAATGGTTTTCATTAACCAAAGCATATCACGAGACATAATTCTCAACATGAATATTCAAACCAAAACATCATACCCAATATCAAGGGTTCCACAAGTTTTCTCAAAAACAAGACAATCATACGTTTTGGAAAAAGGTTTAAGCAAGTCTCAACATAAAGGTCCAATAAAGCCTTATTTATTCTACGGAAGCATAACATGCATAATTAAATGACCGACCCACTAGCCTCTCCTTGTCACCCTGCTCCTGCTTAACCTGCATCGGTGAATAGCGGGTGGGGATGAGCACAAGATGAAAAGTGTGCCCACCACTATGCACATATATCACAATCATAAATAATGTAGAGAAGGTATGGTTACAATATGAACATAAATCAATTATTCTGTCACGTCTCCTAATCACATCACAACATATTACCCACATGTACACATCTTTCATTAGCCAAGGAAAGGGAATTCATTACCCTAACTCATGGGGGTATGTGCCATACGACAAGACACGGCCTTTCATTAGGTCTTACGGAGACTTACCTCGCAAGGTAACCGTATTACATCGACGGGGGACAGCCATACCGACGGCCGAATCGGCTCACGCCAATAGGCTACATGGTTTATATACATACTAAAATCATACCAAGTCAACATTACGGTAAACACATATGGCATGGCAAATTTTAGATTAAAACCCACCTAGTACAGCAAAGGAAAATGGCACACAATCAAGAGTAGGCAGCGAGCACGGCTCGTCAAACACCTACAACAATTATTATACCAAGATCAACACCTATTCGACCATAGAGAACAAACACAACCATATATTGGTCGAATTTGATTCAACCAAGTAGTTCGTGATGTTCCGTGGACATTGGAACACTCGTACCTAACACTTAGACTTGACCAAAAATACATATAAACACCACACATGGACTTAGCACGCAAAACAAAGTCAAACGGGTCAAAGACACACACAAGAGTTTGGGAAAAACATAAAGAAGGCTTGGGACGGGCCCGGGCTGCTCGCTGTCCCGGTTGGGGCACGGCTAGGCACAGTCGGTGTTAGAGGTATGCTGTAAAAGCTATGTTTTGCAGATTCTATCAATTCCATTTTGATCTAGCAATCATGTTTCGGTCAAAGTACATATGTTTGCAGTTTATTTATTTATGCAATACATACTCCATGTCTTATATTGAGGTAGTGTGGTTCGAAGAGTTTCGGACAGAAAGATCACCTATCGGTTCCTTATAAGACTAAACTATTCCTTCACAGTCTAGACTGGCAGTGAGACCCCACATGGAAAAAGACTAGTGTATTCTCGATTCAGTTGGTCTTTGACTGAAGGATTACACTAGCACTTATGTTAAGTGTTGAACAAGACCACGGAAGGATAAGGATATGAGACTCACTGACCGTTGGCGTAACCTAGACCTTCAGTGATTGATGCGTTCCCTTAAGCTGTAATATAATATAATATAGGCATATATTTTTATCTCTTATTTATTTGATTTACCAAGTGATTCCTATTCTGTTAGGATGACATACGAGGTACTTTTGTAAGTAAGAATAATTATATGATGTGCTATTATAGATTATTTACAGTCACTATGTTCCAGTGCGTTGGATTGATGACGTCCCCGAAATGAGCTCAGAAAGGAATATTATGTTAAACCCTGCAGGTAGACGATTGTCTGACATGATGGTTAATGGCTGAGCGGTACTAATTTCGGAAATGAATAAGAGGTTGATTAATTACTTTGTCAGTAATTTAATTAATCAGCGGACGTTATATCTTAAACATAGGGAGGTAAATCGATCAATCAGATTAATATTATTTAATCATGGAGGCTCAATTTTATTGGTCAAATAGTGGCTAAATAGGGAGAGCAATAATATTACTCTAGTGGGATGTTTTATTATTTAATTCCATTAAATATGAATTAATTTTATTCCATATTAATTAATTAATTAGGAGAATAAAATTCCTACTAGAATCTTCTCTTGGGATTAGGAGACTTGGAAGTCATCTAGAATATGGAGATTAGTAGGGAATATGTTTCCTACATTATATTATTAGTTGGAGTAAAATTAGGCTTCCTAAATTAGGAATTAATTCTATTCCATGATTATTAATTTAATTAGGAAAGAAAATTCCAACAAGGATCTTCTCTAGTGTTAGGAGACTTACGAGTCTTCTAGAAGAGATGGATTAGTAGGAGATCTCTTTCCTAGATTGAGTTAGTATTGGATTAGAATTAGGATTCCTAGGCCTAATGGAATAAGCCTATATTTAGCACCTCCTTAAGGTCCCTAATGGATCCTATATATACACCATGTCCCAAACTCTCCTACAAGTTGATGTTGGCCGATTTTCTCATCTACATACACGTGATAATTACTTTGTTCGAGAGTTAGGGAGATTCGATTAAACGCTCCACCAAGTTTAATC